CCACAGCAACTGCTCATGGACTGATAAAGAATTATTTTTGACTGCACACAACAAATCATTTTGAATTATGAACACAGAACCACTTGAATTTGCTCATGAACAAGAAGACTTAAATTGAACTGAAGGCATTATTTAGTACAAGGAACTCACAGGACATTTGTAAACAGTGATATAACCTAAGAAGCATCTCCTGCGTCTTTTGTAGCAATGTGTGGAGGTGTTCATTAATAAACAACACATAGCAATCAGAACTCTAGATTTAAAGCTCATCTTTGAAGTAGAGGAAGTTGTACAATGATTTAAATTTCTACTTGAGCTGGGACAGCTTTGAAAGTCTTTAAATAAGTGGAACTCAGTAGTTCTTGGAGAGAACAGTCTGAAAGATTTTGAAATTTGTATCAGTGAAATAGGAGGTCCTTGTTTACTGCTGAGAAAGAAATTCACTAGTATTAAAGGAGAAACATCCATGCCCAAAACACCTGGATGTTTTTATCTAGATTTAAAAAAAAGCAACTTCTAAAACTCTTTCTCTTGCATTCAGGAAGGAGCTTGCCTAAAGTCTTGGTGTATATAGTATCTACAGACTTGATCTGTTGTTACTCTCATTTGCAACTTCTAAAAAAGTAACTTCTAAAACTTGTGTTTTGCTCTTCTTTTCTATACTAGTTCCTTCTCTATGTTATTTTTGAAAATGTGTAGTGGTCACTGACGTTCCTCAGTGGACACGTTTAGGAAGTGGCATAAACATGCTGCAGATAACTCATGCCATGCAGCTCCACCAGTGCCTCCCAACCTTGATTTAAGTGAACTGGAAGGGAAGTTATCAAGGGATTCCTGCCAAAAAGCTACAGGCCGCAGTCTGCTGAATGCATCTTGCATGAGTACCCTGGACTTACACAAAATTTTTCTTCTCAACATCTTGCTTTTATATGGAAGACTTGAGACCAAAATAGTATAAATCTCTATTCATGAAATGAGTTTTGAAGATCTGTATTTGAAAGTAGTCATGTTTAGCTTTTTTTTCTCTGACTTTTTAAATTTGTTTTTAAAAAGCCAGTACCAAGGGAATGATAGAGAAAACTGATGCTGAACATACTGTCTCTGGAGATGTGAAAGTTAAACATCACTGCAAAATGGCAGTTCAGGGAGCAATGAAGTCTTTTCATCAGATAAATACTTTAGAGGCAGACTCCTGTAGCAGCCTGGGCTGAAGTAGTAGGAACTCATACATGAGAAGGACTCTTGTTTGAGATCTTCAACATCAGAAGATCTTTCCTGATGCTGTTGAATTGTAGCTGGTTTAGAGCACTGTTACGCTCCTCTCAGTAGAAAGCTGTCTATTTTCCTTAACTCTCCTCTCAGCAAGAGTAAAGAATGTGGATTGAAGGTTGCAGCACAGATGTGAGACTGCTCCAGTGCTGCACCAGCAATCACACAGAAGCACGTGCACTGCACACAGGCTACTACTTTGAACAGTTTTACTGACACAAACTGAGGATGACTGGTTTTCCTCTACCTTCAGCAAGGGGTATCAGGACACTTATTTTGAATTTTACAGTGAGCAGGACTCTTACTGAAAATGTTTGTTCAGAAATAGTAATTTCAATGGAATCTGCTGTCAATCACAGCTTCTGTTGTGCTACTTAAATGTGTAACCCTTTATGTTTTCTGAGGCTGAGGCAGAGAGATGAATTTCAACCATGGATCATTGCCATGTTTTGTTAATTCTGTGATTAAGAGCACGGGTTTCTCCATTTGTTGTACAGGAATATCCTGTAACTTCAGAGGAGAACTAGAGGAATGTTGAGGGTGTTTTTGACACCATTGCCTGTTACGGAGTGATGCACTTCACTCAGAGAACTGGCAACATGTTTATTGTTATAAAACAGCAATTTAACAAAGTCTGATAGTAAGCGTGACAGCAGTTAAACAAGATTGAATGGCAAGCTATACTGAATATTTACTGCCTAGTGGACAGTGTCAGGCAAAACTGTCAGGGAAACCCTCCCATTGAATCACAAGGTTCAGAAGGAAACCCCTCATATTGAAAACTCCTTCTCAGGTGGGAGTTTAGGTGTAGCTGGATCCAGACTTAGTCATAGACTTGGTCAGTGGTTTACGTCTAAAGGATTATATGTGCACAATCAGTCCTTTATATCACTGTGTTATGATTTCAAGATTTGGCATGCTGTTAATCACTTATTGAGAATCTGTTGCGGCAAGAACTCTCTCAACATTGAGGAGCAACCTTGAGAGGCATCCCTGCTCAAAGAGCGATCCTGGTGTGCAGCCTACTGCCATGCAGGAGGAATGGATGGGCCCTGGGCTGCCCACTATTTGTGGAGTAAGATAATTGACTTATAGTCACATTTACGTACTGACTACAGATGTTAGTTTCTTCCAAATTTGTCTTGAGTTGGACATTGACCAGCGCTGTGGTTAGAGGACCACATTGTTCACATTAGCCCTTGGCTATTGTGTTGTTGGCTGTCTGCCCCGAATCCGCTTTGAGCTGGATGCAACCATCATGGCATTCACTACACACCCGTGATGATGGCCACTGGTGGCTGTCACCCGAGCAAGGTTAAGGGAAATAAAGGTCAGGTTGTGGAAATGGGGTGGTGAAAGGAGCGCACTACCACCTACCCCACCAAAATAGCGGTGTTACCAGTGGATTGCTTATCCAGGAGGTCATATTCTACACCTCTTAGTAAAGTGAAATTGTTTCACTGATTAAAGACACATGTGTGAGTAAGCCACCGTTGCTTCCTCAATATTTGTGAACCAAAGATCATAAAACTTGTAAGAGCATGATGTTTTGCATATTTTTGATACTGTATTTTTATATACAACTTTTAAAGATTTATACTCAGAATTTAGAAACAAAAAATTAATCTCACTACAACTATATTGTTCAAACCTACAGTTGTGTATCAGTGTCTGTCAACACTGGTTTTTTTAATAGCCATAGTTAGAAAAGAGAGTTGATTTAAAAACCGTACATTTTCTGCACGTATGCACCTCAAAAGTTGTACATGAGCAGACAGAGGACTTTAGAGTACTTGTTTGTAACATATCATCATCAGGTTAATTTTTGTGTGTGTGTGGCTATCCTGAATCTTCTCAGCAGAGTTGTAACATACCTGTCAAGATTTAAAGTTCTTAAAGCAAGAATTTCAAAGGGAAAACCAGAAAAGTATTACGTGCATTGCATGATGCTATACACTAGGATGCACAACTAGGACATGATGGAAAGTAGAGCTTTTTTTTTTTCAGAAATGCAGACCATTGAAAAGTATGAATTGGTATTCAAAAAGAAAGCCATTAATAATCAGGGCTCTTTGCTTCAGTGGATTTAAGATCAGGCCTTGGATAGGAAAAGTGTGAGCCTGAAACTGTGATATATTTTCATCAGCGTGCAATACTCTATGACCAGGTTCTTCAGTTATTCCACATGTGGAGGGTTTAATGTTAAACACTAGATTTACTACTTTGAATATATTTCACCATGTGCATGATTTGGATGTAGCAAAATGATACAGCAGTGTACTGAAATGACAATACAAATACAAATTACACTTAGCAGAATATAGCACTTGACTATACAGATGAATCACAATACAACCATGATGCTCATTACTAGTCTCTTATTCTATGCTCACTGTCACAGTGCTGGGCATCCTCAGTCACTGGGAAGGAATGTGGGCTAAAGGCAGCTCAAGCCTTTCTCTCTTCAAACTTCTCTTTGTCAACTGCTCAGCCTTGGTACCGTGTTGGGTCGAGCCAGGTACACACTCCCCTGTGCTGGTCTTACCAACTCCGGAAGACATGCACACTGTTTTGCTTAAGTTTTGATTAACTGTTTGAGAACAGACATTCACACAACCAGTTGATCCACGCAACTGATTTAGCCATTTATCTAAAAAAAAGGCTGCCTTCTGGTCTTTTTTGTGTTAGGTTCAGTTTTCTTTGCAACAATGGTGATCAATGGATTTTGACTGAATTGGGTGGGAAAGTATGTGTGTGCTAATGTCTAACATGTTTTTAGATACAGACAGAGGAATATTTCTACCTGCATCTAGCTATGGAAAATTTGAGAAAAGAGCCCAAATAATTTTTTCCTGTTGAAGGCTTTTCATAGTGAAACATGTTACCCTATCTTCTATGGAGAAGAGTTTGTTGCCACAGTGGTATTTTTCTTGTACGTGAATCTCCAGTTTAAAGTCATTCGACCCTTCTAAAGTCAATCACAAACCTTCTGTTAGGGTCACTGGAGGAAGATCTTACCCTTAACACTAAAGTACAAAGCTGTAGGACATCCATCTAAGCAATGCATCCTCCTGGAAGAACACATTCTATTGGAGTTCAATGTTCACTCATATAGAAACTTCACTAGACTTTAACTTGTTCTCTTATAGATTTTCGTCTTTAAAAAACCCCCAGATTTTTCTTATATATTTGAAAAATTGTACTGTTGCAGACAGAGCTGAACTTCATTTTGTCTATTTGCCTAGAAACAGGGCTAAATTGCAGAACAATTAAATAGACTTGGAGCTCATTAGGTCTTCATTATAAAGATTTTTTTTTATCAGATCTTATGTAATTTTGTTACTGTAAAATTAATACACTCATAATAGGAAACATCATACATTTCAACTTCAATAAGTAAAGGAGCCTGTTACATTTCAGTAACTGAAACATGAATGCCACAGGTCAGGTACAGCTGAAACAATGTTTTTATACCATTAGTTTATTTTAGACAAAACCTACAAACATTGCCATGTATGAGGTGCAACTGTGCTTTCAGACTGATGCACACGTATGTCTTCAAGTTCCTCTTTCTGTCCAAAGCAGAAAAACAATGCCTAAAAGTCTCACAATATTCATAGCTAGGGTTTGTCAGAGAATTATGTTGCCTTCTCTGTGGTGTGAATATCTAGTCCCACAGCAGGAGAGTGTTGTCCAGTGCTGCCGTTGTAGCAGCTGTCTCCCTGAAATGCTTAGGAATAATCATCTACCGACGTGTGCAGTGAACTGATGAGACTTGAGGCTGTGGAGATGGTCTTGGAATTGCCATTGAAACCGGTGTCCCTCGGAGCTGCTCTTTTCTTACGGCTGGCTTGGCTGTTGTCTCCATCAATAGTGTCGAACACCACCGTCATGCTAGACTCCATTCTGGACACAGCGTAAAGGCTGCTTTGCCGGGTGGGATGGAACCTGGCAGCCTTGAGCTCCAGCTCGTCATAGCTGGACACCTCAATGAAGGGGCACCAGCGGAACGCTTGCTTGAAGCCAGCTCGGAACCTGGGAGAAAAGATGCTTAGTGGAAGCCTGTGCTTGTGAGATCCAGCCACAGGCCTTCATCTGAAAAAAATATACCATGCTGACAGAACACTGGCTCAGCTAGTTATCTTGGCCCTAACCCTGTCTGTGGTGAAGTTAGTGGGAGTTTGCTTGACGAAAGTTTGAGTAGTATAAAAAAGATAGTGGTAACAGCTCATTTTTGTTTCTGATTTTCTGCATGCTTTTCCTGCATTTTAATGTTGGTGTTTTCCTGATACCCAATTTCCCTTCCTCTGTCTGAGCCTAAACAAGAAACTACAACCCACCTGCTTTCATAGCACTGTCTTCACAGAAACTGTTTTGATTTGACCTATGATGAAATCAGCACCTATATTTTCATCTTCTCTCAGCAAGAAAATTTGTAGTAGTATTTTCTCTTAAAATACCATCCTCAGCTTCAAGATTCCTATATTCCACCTATGTTTCCCTCTCTGACAGAGGTGCTTCAATGGTGATTATGTAATGACTAATAATTGTTCATATAAAATAGATGAAAAATAATTTACAATAATTAAAGAAGATCCTAGAAAGTTGAAAACCAAATGTGAATAATGTACAAATGGGAATTTTGAGACCTTAGCGCATTAGTGCTTGCAATGTTCATACAGAGACAAAGATTTACTATAAAGACTATTTTTACTTTTGGTATGTATGCGTGCCCAGCCCTAACTCTTGACGATGCATTTCCAGAATAGAAGAAAAATATATTGGAAGAACAATTTTCTGTATATTTATGTGTAACCTGAAAAAAACCACCTCTTCCCCTAGACTTAAAACTTATCAGACATTCTCACTTGTCTTGCTTCTCTTGTCTTTGTTTCAACAATCAGCTGTGTTGTTTATTGTGTCTTTAAGCTTTTGGAGGAATGGTTCAGCTACAACAGTGATGACTACAAATAACAATGTAGATTAAGTTTTCAGTGAAAGTTGACTATTCTCACAGAAATAACATTTTTTTCCTCCTCAGTTTTTTAAGTTTGCCATAGAGCTGTCGCACAATGATAAATGAGCAGGTATCATGGTCTTCAGCATTCCTCTGTTTCTATGCAATCCACATTATGAAAAAATATTGAAAGAAGCTCTGATGGAAATGGATTAGTGAAGGAAGCTGTAAAACCTAAACATCTTTGAGCCATTATTTTTCATCTCACATTCTATCCTCTTTCTCATTCAGGGCATTTTTTTCTTCATCTTTAAATAATGCTCTATCTCTCTAGAAAAGGAAGTAATATCCTAATTAGCCTGGAGGGTGAGTCTGGTGATAGATGTTATAACTCCATCAGACACTAGATCCAGCAGAGGTACAAATATTGCGTATATTGTTCTGACTCCCAGCAACAGGCTTTATGTTCTTACTGCATGAAAAGGAAGCAGACATTAAAGCTTCTTACTTTTGATATGGAATTTAATTGTAAGAAAACTTTCACCATTATTTCATTCTTGCATTAAATTCTGAACAAGGTGATCTTTAGTATGTCTTAAAATTATGAAATAGTTGTGGATTTGTATTCTTTAATCAGACATTTAATTTTGCGATGTATGAGTGTCAGCATAAGCCACATCAGAGATATTAATTTTTTATGAATAATGTCTTTTGCAACTCTGCCAGACAAAAGTTTCTGAAGAAAATGGCATCGTTTTAGAAATTTTATGGTAATAACTGAAAAAATATGAGGCCTGGTTATACCTTGCCTTTGGTTCTGCAAACACTGGACACCCAGTGAAATCTGGTTTGTGTTGAATTTAGTGGGAAATTTGCCATTTTAGTTGGGATTTTGTTGTGGCATGCTAAAACTTTACCTTTTCTTTAACAGTTGTAAATTATCAAAAGGGGCAGAAGACTGTATGAAATCTTGACATTTAAAAAGACTACAAATGTTAACCATCATAAGCTATCCTCATCACGGATGCAGACTCCAATAAGAACTCTGAAAACAGAATGGACAGGATGATGTTTGGTTAGATCCTAGTCCTACAAGCTGAAAAACATGAGTTCATTCTGCAATCCAGCAGTCTCAAAGTGCCAAATACCCATAAAATCTCACTAAACTCAACAAGTGTTTGAAATTCAGAGCATAATGCATTGCCATCAAACAGTACTGTAGTTTAGTATTGAGTAATGAGAACATAAATATTTTTTTATTAGTCTGTTACAGATCTCAGAGCTCAGTAGAAGTCTAATGGTGAGGTATAAAATACACAGTAAATCATATTTTATGTTATATCCTTCCAGCACTACAAGACCAATTTGTGGCTACAATTAGCGAACATACAGATTGCACTGTATATCACTGAGGACTGTCTTTAGTCCTTTATTTTAATGTTTTGCAAGACAAAAATTATTAAACTGCTATAGGTTTTAAATTTTGAATATGGAAATGGGAAGGATTGGTTTCTGAATGCTGAATTTTACTCTGAAATTTTAAGTAGATCAAAGGATTCACTGGAATTGAACTTTTGTTTTTCTGGATTCATTTCAAGTACAAACCTAAAGGAAGAGTTTTTTTATGTTTTGTTTCTCACTAACTGAAAACCATTCAAGAGAAAATTCTTTGTCTTTTATTCCATTTAAACCATTTATATTCTCATGGAAGTTATGCATCCCAACTCTTTCATAACCACCTCTTACCTCTTGTTAAGACAACAGTAGATAATGGGATTGTACATGGTAGAGCTCATGGCAAGCCAAAAGCTGGCCAAATAGATTTGCTGAATGTATTTCCACCGATTTAATTGTTGATAGATCCCGGTAACTATGAAGTAAATGTGGTAGGGCAGCCAGCAGATGGCAAATGTCAGCACAACCACAATCATCATTTTTACCACCTGAAAGAAGGAAACAATAATGTTATTTAATAATAGACGTTAGCTATTTTTTTAATTTGGACTAGCATTTCAACAGTTCAAAGGTAGAGGAAAGATGAATATGCTTTTATATAATTTTCCTTTTACTCTGACTTTCCTACATTTCTGGGTTTTTTCTTCTCTTTTCTTTCCTTCTTTTTTTTTTTTTGGCTGGAGATCCTCCTGTTCTAAGAAAAAATATTCTCAAACTTTATTTGTATTGATTCTTCCAAGTAATATATTTGCTTACTTATATTTGGCTATTTAAAATATTACTTTTCTCTCTATACACCTAATCATGGAATAAGGTTACAGGGTGTTTTATCTGGACACTTTATTTTGACGTGTATCAACCCTGGTATGTTTTTCTGTTGTGGTCTGCAAATTTATTCCCTGTCCCCAATTATTAGATGCGATTTGAGTAAACAATAGGTTGTAGGAAATGAGCAACTGCAGCATCCTGTTTAATTTCAAAGTGGCTAACAATTTCCTTGTTGATCATTATTTGTTGTTTTCTGCAGTCATTGTAACATCTGTTAGGTACCGTAGTTTCCATTAGGCACAAATGAGGAGGAGCACAGTTTTGTGCTTGAAACACAAACCAAGAAGTTGAAAGTCATGTAAAATTTTCACTCCCATCTTTCCCTCTTCACTTATGTCGAATACTAGCCCAGCTGCCATTTTCAACACAGTGTGTTAGCACAACAGATTTTCTTTTTGTAGGTAAAATGAAAGCAGACATGATAGATCTGTGCTTGGGAGATCTCTTGTTCATTTGTACTGTGAATAGTGAGGAATAATTGGGATTGCTATCAACAGTTCCTTTTATTTCTCTGTGCAAATTGCTGTTTCCTACTGTTTGTAGTTTTACCAGGAAAAAATAAAAAAGGGAAAGCTACATGTCTTAGGTTGATATTTTTATAAAATTTCAGCTAATGTAATTATGTCATTCTCCATACAAATGTTGTGGTGCTGTCTTTAACTCGTCTTACTTCTTCCTGTGAGAAACATTAAGCAATTTTTCATTTAATATCTGGCAGCAGTTTAGTGTATTTTCCTAGCAAAAAAGGGATGTTTAAGAAAAGTCAAGGTTAAGTTGTCATTATTTTGAGTATTTATGTAGTACAATCACTCACTGACATATTACCTAAGGGGAAGACAAGTGAGATGTTGCAAGTCTGTGTGGCATAAAAATGTTTGAAACACAGGGCAGTTACATTTGAACTTGAAGTCAACCACATAATTTATGAGAGGAATCAAAAAGTACAATTCTATCTTCATTTTGTCAGCTAAGAATGAGTATGTCTTGGCAGAAATGGAGGAGAAGAAGATTAAGAGGATGCTGAAAAGGAAGGACATTATTCCCAGTTTTCTTTCCTCTCACACACACACCATGCTGGGCCATAGTTTATGTTTTATGACTGTGGTTCTTGTCCATCCCCTTGGTCTTTCCAGTGTTAGGTTTAATTTCTTGATGATATAAAGAACTATGAACAGAAACTGCCTTCAAGGTCGATAAACCCAGGGCACCTTGATTTTACTTGATATAAATCCTTATGAATGAGTGCCGGTAAAGTCTTAAGCTCAGTTAGGACATAGGGAAAATAAGCAAAACAGGCTAAGTATGAATTTGGTCCAAAAGCCTGATTGTCTTTTTCCAGTATGCTGATGCTTCACTAAAAGATCTCCAATGACGTTTTACAGGTTCAACCGTAGAGTATAGAAGAGAGACTCTTTTTTTTTTTTGAGTACTTAGACCTGTGGCTTTGACAATGCAAAGTTATCTTATTTTGTTTCTTTTTAATATGCCTGTTCTGCTTTATTTTTTTGAGACATTACTATTTTTCAATTGCTTTCTCCTCTGTTCTGTGTTGCACAGAATTTGTTAATAAGGGTTTGCTCTTGTGTGTTAGGAAACACTTATAAAGCAAGCTAACCAGAAAATTACTAAGTCAGTTGTGCTTAATCTCTAGCTCTGTTCCTGCCACCATTTCACCAGGGCCCTTTCTGAAATATATGATTGCAGTGAACATCACCAGCCTGGGTACCAGTTGGCACCATTTTCCCCTGATATTCTGTTCAATCTCTCTCTGTACTGTTGACAGCATAGCCAGAGGAAAGTTGTTGGTTTTTCTGTTTGAGGACTCTTGTTAAAATGAGTTGTACTGCGTCTCTCAGTTGTACAACCCTGAGGCTAAAGTCTTGATCGTTTGGAATAGGATAAAAAAATCGAAGTACTTTATATTTTGATTTTCATCAACATATTCTGCTGGTATTGTTGTACTTCTGCTTATGTCTAACAAAAACTATGTCTATAAAAGAGTCAATCTGTGTGTTTTTAGTCTTGCCCATTCCTTTAAATCCTTCCTCTCTGAGTAAAAAGTATTTTTTCATTAATGAATAGTATTTAATTAGAAAAAAGTGTTTAAAAGAACAAAACAGGTGTAAGTTCATTGGAATTGGAGTTTGCAGGTTTGCCTTTGTTGTGAAACATTTGAAGTGCTAAAAGTGAAAAGGAGCTAACAGATTCTACTACACTTTGAAAGTTTTTATTTTGTATGAAGAATAGCTAGAAAAATGAGTCTGATATAGATTTAGCATTGAGAAGAGCTCTTGAAAGATTAGGAATAAAATATACTTTTTCTGAGAGACTGAGTTGCTGCTGGAGGCTATAGCAATTCACATTGTGCAAAGCCTTGATTTGCCATCAACACCTAAAACTTCAGCCACAGAATCATTTCCTTTTCAATCTGCCTTGCAGCTCTTTATTGCCTTTCCACGTCATTGTTGATATTGCTGCTTCTACAAGGTTAGACATTTGGCTTCTGATTTTATTGGCACCAATATCACACTATAACTTCATTGTTTTCAGAACTTTTACTCCTAGGCATTATGCAGATGTAAATAAGAAGCAGAGCAAATGCTTTAAAAACTCACACAGTGTAAGAATGTCTTAATTTACCCACTCATGGATATAATTTGCCCATGAATACAAGTTAAACACAGTTCACAAATAATCTTTGGGAGTCATAATGCGTTTCTCTTTCTGCTCTATGCTCTGTTGGAAAAAGTAAAACACTAAACTTGCATTAAGTCTTTCTCCCAACTTGTTAGGAAATCCACTCCCCAATCCTGGGGACATGCATGGCACTTGTGCACTAAGCACCAGAGAGAAGAGAACACCATTATTATGTCTTTTCGTTCTGCACAGCGCTTAGATGGAGTAAGCTATGGCTCTTCTGCAAGAAACTTGGGATTTAAAGGTAACTACTGGTTTTAGTAGAGAGAAGACTAATTTCTGAGACATCAAATGCTGTGGGTTTTCACATAATTTTGACAAGCTCAGGAATTTTTTGTGCTCTTTTAGCCCATGGAAAGGATAGATTCTTAATAGCTGAGGGGGATCCACATTTAGAAGGAGAAAGAATCTGAGAACTTGGAATTCTTTCAGTCATGTAAGGTACTTGCAAATTCCTGTGCTCGACAAATCATTTTATTCTACTGACTTGCACTTTCCATCCATTTTTTGTGAGTTGCTTGAAATAAAGAAGCTACTTTTCATTTCAGTTTGCATAATCCCTTGCTGCAGACAGAATTCAGAATCTTTTATTTAAGCTGTAAAATTGTAAAAGATATTCCGTTCTACTATGAAGTAGCTTTAAATCAGATTGCTGTCTTACAAATGCTAACATGTAGGGGACCCCCCTAAATCAATTCCCTTCTGTCATTTTTCATGAAGTCTTATCCATTTTTAAATTATGCTTTTCTAATGTTGCATGGAACACAGCTTTTACAGTGACTTTCAGATTCTCTCAACATCATGAAATATCTGTTCTATTAAAGAAAAGGGGTAAATTTTTTGCTCAGGCTTTTTTCCTTGAGAAGGTGTGATTTTACAAGCATCTGGCTGGGGACAGGGAGGAAAAATTGCCACAAGTCTTTATCTACTTTATCTAAAAGAGATATCTCAATTTCTCACAAGAAATTGTTAAATATTAGATAATATGCTAATGTCTACTGCTCAAATTAAGTTTTTCTCTGTAACCTAGATGACAACTGAAGCGAGGTGGCCTTGTATCATTGGCTTGGTCTTCAGTATGGAGTAGCATAAGAAGTTTATGTTCTTTAGAAAATTACTCTGAGTGGCTGTTGTGGGATCAGGGTTACTTGGTGTGGTTATCCACCTGATACCTAGTTCTGAAAAGAGTGAAAAAGCTTTTTGTATGTAAAATTCACACCATCACTTATGTGACAATGGTTTCCTTCCTGACCTGAATGAGTGACGGGGCATGCTTCGCTTCTGTGCTTCCAAGCAGAGATGAAGCAAAATAGTCATATCTTCTTTAGTTTTCCCAACCAGAGATGTTGGTTCTTAAGTCTACTTTCTGCCACAATTCTGAAAATGTTCTGGGACCTTTCATCTTCATTAAAGGCTCTCCCCAAATCATCTTGCCAATGTTCGAAGACTCTCTTGAGTTTTCCTTATAAGACTTTGCACGTGAGATTTCTTTTCTATTGGAAACTAGACCTTATGCTGAACAGTGCAATAAACAAATCAGACCATGCTGAATTATGCCAGTGAATTGTGCTAAAGTATTCCTGCGTGTGGTTTGCTTTATGTGGGCTCCTGTCAACAGAACCTGCCCTCTTGATACTAAAAAGATACAGGTACCTCTGCTTATCTTCACATGAGGAGCATGCGCTTTTATTTCATAGGGAAAGTCTACAGTCTTTTGAATTGTTTTAAATCAGCTTAGTCACTTAGGGAAATTAAATAAGTGATTTATATAATTAGAAATCATGTTAATGTTTACTATTTTTCTCTATAGTTTTGGCATATGAACATCATGGAGAAGAATGCAGAATATTTAATACACAGTTTGAAAAAACTCTTTCTTCTCTTCTCTGTTGATAGGAATAATATTGTGTTGCCTGAAGATGAAATGGATTATTCCTGGACTGTACTTGTTTAAAATGCATGG